GAGAGAATCATCGATCAGCTGTCTCTTGCACACCCTCTACTAGGGATGTGCCCACAACCAAGGTACATGCCCTAGACCGGAATTGAACCTGGGACCTTTCAGTCCGCAGGCTGAGGCTCTAATCCCCTTTTAATGTGCACGAATTTCATGCACGTGGCCACTAGTGATAAAAGAAAGAAACACACACTTTATAGATCTCCCACCTGCTTGGCCTTGGGAAAGGGTTTGGAACATGACTTAGCCTCACAGAAGCTTCTCCTTTCTCTGGAGAAGCTGGTGCCAGGCTTGTCCTTTCACCTGCCTCTGGGAGGGCGGTGAGGGACGAGGGCTAGATCTTCCAGGGGGCTGGGCCTGCCTGCTGTTCTCTGCCTTGAGGTTTACGACATGTTGAGTGCCGAATGCCTTTGAGGTGTCAACCTTGACCTTGTAATGAACTGAAACTTCAGGAAGCTTAAATGCTGTAGGGTTTCGTTAGATGATTCACATCTAACATCCCTTTAATCAGATTTTCTGAGATAACCGAGATGTTTTTCCCGGGGTTGTGTATCTCATCGCCGAAGAATGAGCTCCATGGACCAGGAGATTTAAGCAAAAGTGTGGAAAACTTATTACAAGCAGATTCAGACTCCTTGCAGGGGTCAGGGCCCAACAAGGGGCTGCCATTAAAGCCTTGTAGTCCAGGGGTGTCCTAATATATTTGTTACAAGCCTGCTCAGTGTCTGCTGTCACCTGATTGATTCCCTCAATTGTTCTTGCCCAGCAACAGACCTGAGCTCTCGCTGTTTCGGTATGTTCGTACTCCTTGTTGCTGCAGGCCCTCCCTTAGTTTCCCATGCCTCCCACTTTAGTCCAGAAACGTTTTATGATTTCTGCTTGGTTGGTTCCTGTGACTAGGCTGCCACACTGCCGTGTCTGCCTCTGCCTGTGTTCCACCTGCCTTTGTTCCCACTGGACTTGCCCAGTCTGCCTGCATTTCAAGTTAAGCCTCTCGGCTGCTTTAAATAATTTGTTTCATGAGTAACTTATTTTGTATTTATGGCTAAGGCATTGTGCTAAGCTCTGTGGGGAATATATGGCTTCTGGTTTTAAGATTTTTAAAAATATGTATTTTATTGATTTTTTTACAGAGAGGAAGGGAGAGAGATAGAATTAGAAACATCGATGAGAGTCATCGATCAGCTGCCTCTTGCACACCCCCTACTGGGGATGTGCCCGCAACCAAGTACATGCCCTTGACCGGAATTGAACCCGGGATCCTGCAGTCCGCAGGCTGATGCTCTATCCCCTGAGCCAAACCGGTTTTGGCATGGTTTTAAGATTTTTATTCTCTATAGCTGTAATAAGGGAATTGTACATATTTTTAAGAGGAAAGGCTGAGGGTGTGTATTACAATAATGATAAGATTAGCTGTTCTTTATTTTTATTTATTTATTTATTTATTTATTTACTTATTTATTTATTTATTTAATATGGAACGCTTCATGAATTTGTGTGTCATCCTTGCGCAGGGGCCTTGCTAATTTTCTCTGTATCGTTCCAATTTTAGTATATGTGCTGCCGAAGTGAGCACTAGCTGTTCTTTATTGATTACTTAATATTTGCTGCTGCACTGATCACTTTATATACTATCTTATTTTTATTTTTTGCTTTTTCCTCACATGAGGATATTTTCCCATTGATTTTTGTAGAGAGTGGAAGGGAGGGAAGAAAGAGAGAGAGGGAAACATTGATATGTGAGAGAGCCCCGACCAGAGCAGGTGATCGAGCCTGCAACTGAGGTACATGCCCTTGACCTGGTCCATAGGCCAGCACTCTATCCACCGAGTCAAAACAGCTAGGGCGAGATACTATTTTCTTTATTTTTATTTTATTTTTACTTCCCAAAGTCTATTTTATTAAATTATTATCTCTGTACATATTTTAACATTGCCCCCCCTTCCCTTACATACCCTCCCTCCCCAGAGTTTTGTGTCCATTGGTTGTACTTATATGCATGTATACAAGTCCTTCGGTTGATCTCTTATCTCCCCCAGATCTCCCTACCCTCCCCGCTGTAATTTGACAGTCTGCTTGTTGCTTTACTGTCTCTATATCTAACTTTTGATTCATCAGTTTATAATGTTCTTTATTATCCATAAATGAGTGAGGTCATGTGGTGTTTCTCTTTCATTGACTGGCTTATTTCACTCAGCATGATGTTCTCCAATTCCATCCAGGTTGCTGCAAATGATGAGAATTCCTTCTTTTTTATGGCAGCATAGTATTCCATTGTGTAGATGTACCATAGCTTTTGGATCCAGTCATCTGTTGACGGGCACCTAGGCTGTTTCCAAATCCTAGCTATTGTAGATTGTGCTGCTATGCGCATAGGGGTGCATATATCCTTTCTGATCGGCGTTTCTAGTTTCTTGGGATATAATCCTAGGAGTGGGATTACTGGGTCAAATGGGAGTTCCATTTCCAGTTTTTTTAGGAAACTCCACACTGTTCTCCACAGTGGTTGCACCAGTCTGCATTCCCATTAGCAATGCAGGAGGGTTCCTTTTTCTACGCAACCTCGCCAACACTTGTCGTTTGTTGATTTGTTGATGTTGGGTATTCAATGGTACCGCATTGTCGTTTTGATTTGCATCTCTCGGATAATTAGTGACTTTGAGCATGTTTTCATGTGCCTTTTGGCCTTCCTTCTGTCTTCTTTTGAAAATATTCTATTTAGGTCCATTGCCCATTTTTTAATTGGATCGTTCATCTTCCTTTTATTTAGTTATATATGGTATCTGTAGGTGTTGGAGATTAAACCTTTATCAGTGGTAACATTTGCAAATATGTTCTCCCATACAGTGGGCTTTCTTGTTGTTTTGTTGATGGTTTCTTTTGCTGTAAAAAAGCTTTTTATTTTGATGTATCCCATTTGTTTATTTTCCCTTTAGCTTCCATTGCCCTAGGGGCAGTATCAGTGAAGAAGTTCTTTTGGCATATGTCTGCTGCCTGTGAATGCCTCTAGTATTTTTTTGCTGCCTGTGAATGCCTCTAGTATTTTTATGGTTTCCCGTCTTATTATGTTTAAGTCCTGGAGATACTATTTTCTTTAAATCCTATGATTATCTCATGAAAAAGGTACTATTTTTCTAACTTCTCAGAGAGCCCAAGGACATGTTTGTAATAAGGGATGTAGTTAACGGGGCAGGTAGAATGGACCTTCAGAGAGGGAGAGACAGCTTCTGTTTTCTGTGGTGGGAGAAAAAGATCAAGGGCATCTTTTTAATTTTTTCTAAATATTTTTATTGATTTCAGAGAGAAAGGGAGAGGAAGAGAGAGACAGAGACATCCATGAAGAGAGAGAATCATTGATAGGCTGCCTCCTGCATGCTCCCTGCAGGGATCAAGCATACAACCGGGCTTGAGTCCTCATTGGGAGTAGAACTGTGACCTGATTCATAGTCAACACTCAACCATTAAGCCACACCGGCTGGGCTTTCATATAAAATCTATATTATAGATCAAGGGCATCTTTATGAAGAAGGGGCATTTGAATTGGGACCAGAAGAATGGATAGGATTTTGAAAGGTGGAACCTTAGAGCTTTAATGAAGAAAAAGGTGAGGAGTATATGGATATTGATAATCGATTCCTTTGCTTTCCTTTGTCACCTTTTTCACTTAGAATGGAAGCGTGGGTGGGAAGATAGGTGAACATGTGCTTTGAGTGTCACTGTTGAGCTGGGGAGACATATGATTTGCTCATGACATGAATATGCCTGCAGTCAGGCAAAGGCAAACTAGTCAGCCGCTGAGTCTTGAGTAGTCAGGAGGGAGGAAAATTAGTAGGGGCTGTAACAGTAGGGGAGGAGATGGAAATTGAGATGGTTTTAGAACATTCGAATACATCAGAAATCGGACCCTGAGAATGTCTGTTTTCAGGGTTGAAAAGAGCTTCTCTGCCGGGACCAGTAGCTATGCATTGGAGAAGGTGGTTGGCCTTGCTGGGCCGGACAGTGGGGGAACGGGGGTGTTAGGAAGATAGATAGTCTTCAGCGACTCCTTGTGTGAGAGAATGTGACATGTGACCTGGTTCAATCAGGGGAAGGAGACAAGTGGGTGGGTATCCTTGGGCTGCAGCACAGGTTTTCTCGAGGGAGGGGAGGAGGAAGCTGCTATCACCAGCACCAGGAAGGATGCATACAAACCCGTGTTCCAGGAAAGGCAGGAATTACCCCTCCCTCAGTGGACTGTGGTCTTATGTCAGGCTTCTGATAGTGCCCCCGCTCCAAGTGTCTCTTGCCCCTGGTTATGCCCTGATGCTCTTCACAGCTTAGTGTCCTCAGATTTCACCCAAGTATGAGTATTTGGGTGGGGAGCCCTAGTATGATTGGACCTGGGTCCCTGGGAATGTGTGTAGCAGCGGAGAGGGATAGCATCATGATGAGTGAATGCGAGGAGATGTCCTTAGGTCAGATTGACAAGCTGCCAACACATGGAGAAGCTCCTTACATCAAGTGGTCAGGAAGGACTTGAGTAAGCCAAGGCTTAGATTTAAGGCTGTTGCTTTTGAGATGGTGAGATGACCAAGTGGAGCCACCTAGAGCCTCAGTATATTCTGTCCTCCTGTCACAAAGCTAAGGAACTTACAAGTAGCCTCAGGTGCTGGCCCTGCCACCCTCATGGCAAGGCCATAGCGGGGAGTCCTGCCTGAGGAGGGCGTGCAGAAGGCCCATGTGGGCCGCTCCCGTACTGGCAATGGAGCCCCCTTCAGGGCTATCGCTTGTCAGCCAGTGTGCTTGTTCATTCAGTCAGCAGGTGCTCACGGGGCCAGGCCGTGTGCCAGCAGCTCTGCCTGTGGCGGGCAGCACCGGGGCGGGCCTGTCTTGCGGCTGTCACCCACAGGTCAGATCCCTAGAGATGTGATGTCATAGCTCTTGGCTGTCATATTTATTTTAGGGAAAGAGGCGTATGTTTGTTTTTATTATGCTTTCTGTACTTTTATCTTTTATTTACTTGACAGATAAAGCCACAGACCCAAGCATGCCAGAACAGGATTGGTCAGCTATCCAGAATTTCTGTGACCAGGTGAACACTGATCCCAATGGGTAAGGTGACCTTCACACTGGACCACAGGGGTCTTTGGACTAAGTGCATGCCGTTTGTCTTGGGACTGTTTTAATAGCTAGCCTTTCTTTCTTTTCCCCCCTCCACAATCTACTGAAAACATCATTCTTTTTTAGAGATAGCAAATTCAAATTCATGTGGTTTTTAAAAAACAAACAAATGAATAGTCAGTTTGTAACTGGCAATTATTTTTAAAATAGCATTATGAAGTAGTCATACTCAGGAGACCTGAATGTTATGTACAGGTAGAAGGTAGCAGCATGAAAGAGCTCATGTGCTCTCCATAATTTAAATGTAACCTTTCGTTAGAAGAGGAAAGAAAAGGGCAAGATTGTATTGAATTTTTCCCCCCAAAGCATCTGGACAGGAACTGAAGAATTCAGATGTTTATTCTACATACTAGAGGCCTGGTGCATGAAATTCGTGCAGTGGGGGGAAATTCCCTCAGCCCAGCTTGCACCCTATTCCAATCTGGGACCCCTTGAGGGATGTCTGACCATCTGGGCCCAATCCCGGTGGTTGGACATGCCTCTCACAATCTAAGACTGCTGGTTCCCAACTGCTTGCCTGCCTCTGCCTGATTGCCCCTAACCACTTATGCCTGCCAGCCTGATCACCCCAATCACTCTCCTGCCCGCCTGATCGACGCCTAACTGCTCCCCTGCCGGCCTGGTCACCCCTAACTGCCCTTTCTGCTTGGCTGATTGCCCACAACTGTCCTCCCCTGTAGGCCTGGGTTCTCCCCAACTGCCCTCCCTTGCTGGCCTGGTCTTCCTCAACTGCCCTCCTCTGGTGGCCTGGTCACCCCTAACTGCCCACAGCTGCCCTCCCCTGCAGGCCATCTTGTGGTGGCCATCTTGTGTCCACATGGGGGCAGCCATCTTTGACCACATGGGGGCAGCCATCTTGTGTCTTGGAGTGACAGTTAATTTGCATATTACTCTTTTATTAGATAGGATTGCTGACTATTCAGCATTTGGAAATGGGCTGAAAGTTTGATCGCACTGTCTACTCTAGTGTTTATCAGACAACAAATAAGGTCCATGTTGCTCATGACCTGGCTACCCGTAGGCCTGTCCTGACTGCTCTGTTTGGAGCTTTGGGGTGCATAAGTTGGGAGGGTGGTGTGTCTGGACAGTAGTAGTTGCGGGAAGGGTAGGTGGGGTTGGCCTCCTTCAGAGGCTTGTGCATGGGCTGTGTGCCAGTTCCATTCCACCTCTGCTGTGGGACCCAACTCCTGGAGGGGAGGAGACTCCATGGAGTGCACTGAGCCAGACTGTCCGCCTAGAGCCCAGGTGTCTTTGTTTTCTCTTAGCCCAACCCATGCGCCCTGGCTGCTGGCCCATAAGATCCAGTCTCCACAAGAGAAAGAAGCTCTTTATGCCTTAACGGTAAGCTTGGCCCTTAGCCTCGGTTTTCCTGTCCTGAGCCGGAGGGAGCTGGGCCCCAGGTTCCCCTTCGCTGGTCACAGAGGCTGGGCTCCAGTAGCCGTCCTAGGACTGCTTCTAGAGAGCAGCGCCGAGCCTGCTTTGGGAGAAGGAAAGAAAGGTTTTATTTCCTTAGCGCTTCATAGACCAGGGCTGGTAAGTTAAGTGCCCACAGGCCAAACTGTGACGTAGTGAGTGAGCCACTGGGTGAGGACCAAAATCCTGGAGAACACTTGCCCAACCAGGGAAGCGTGGCTGCAGTGCAGCACTGGCTGTATTGCCAGCCATGAGTTTGGGCCCATTGTTGCTAGCATTTCTTGTTTTTAAAGAGAAACCATAAGTCCAGATTTTTGTATGAATTCTCTGAATTAAAAAGATATATATATATATATTTTATTGATTTTTTTTTCTAGAGAGAGAGGAAGGGAGAGGGATAAAGAGATAAGAATCATGGATGAGAGAGAAACATCATCAATCAGCTGCCTCCTGCACATCTGTGGGGATTGAGCCTGGGCATGTGCACTGACCAGGAATCAAACCGGTGGCCTCTTGCTTCCTGGCTTGATGTTCAACTGCTGAGTTACACCAGCTGGGCATGAATCCTCTGAATTTTTTTATGTTGGTGACTAACCTGAAATGTTAAACAGGAGTGTGGACCAAAGAAAATGTGTGTAGGCCCCACTTGCATGCCAGCAGGGGACTTGTGGCTTAGCAATTCATGGGCCTTACATACTGGATGTGGCCTCTGAGCGGGAGGGAGTCATCTGCCCAAAGGATCTCCTTAAAAGGTGGGGTGACTTCAGGATATACACCCCACTGAACTGTTTGCTGGGCACAAACCTGTTAGATATAAGTTATAGCAAGACCAAATAGGTGCTTTTTAACAAAAATCTGAAAATGTTACCCTTTTTCCCAAACTCCAGTGTCCTCATAGTCCCAAGTAAAAAGTAGCCCTGGTTCCAGCAAGTGCTCATCAGGTTTCAGGCAAGCCTGGAGCCAGTGGCTTTCCTGTTCTCGTGGAGTCCCGTGTCTGTGCAGGTGCTGGAGATGTGCATGAACCACTGCGGAGAGAAGTTCCACAGCGAGGTGGCCAAGTTCCGCTTCCTGAATGAGCTGATCAAAGTGCTGTCCCCAAAGGTGAGTACCATGGTCTTGGCCCTGCCTAGTGCACCTGGCCCAGCCTCCAGACTCTTCCTGTGTACAGAGGCAGGCCTGCTCCTGCACAGTCCCTGCAGCCTGTCTCAGGTTTATGAGGGAGCTGAGAGAGGAGGCCCTAGATGGGAAAGCTTTCTTCTCCAAGGTCTAGGGTGACCATGCTGATCCCTGCCCTCCATTGTTTATTCTCCCTTTAAAAAATGGCCTTTTGGCCCAGCCTCAGTAGCTCAGTTGCTTGAGTGTTATCATGTGCACTGAAAGGTTGCCAGTCTGATTCTTGATCAGGACACATACTTAGGTTGCAGGTTTGGTCTAGGTCAGGGAAGGCAACCAATCAATGTTTTTCTCTCTCTCTCTTCCTCTTCTTTCTTAAATCAACAAAAATCCTATATAATAAAGGGCTAATATGCAAATCAACCGAACAGTGGAATGATGTGTCACTATGACACACACTGACCACCAGGGGCAGACACTAAATGCAGGAACTGCTTCCTGGTGGTCACTGCACTACCAAAGGGGGAGCACTGCTCAACCAGAAGCTGGGCTCATGGCTCATGAGCACAGCAGCTGTGGTGGGAGCTTCTTGTACCTCTGCACCAACACTATTGGTTTTGGCCCACTCCCTGTGGGCTCCTGGACTGTGAGAGATTGCAGGACAGACTGAGGGACCCCCGCTCCCCAAATTTTGTGCACCAGGCCTCTCGTATCCTATCTAATAAAGCTATAATATGCAAATTGACCCTCACGGCATCACACAAGATGGCCTGCAGGGGAGGGTAGTTGTGGGCCATCAGCCAGTAGGGGAGGGCAGTTAGGGGTGACCAGGCTGGCAGGGAGGGCAGTTAGGGGTTATCAGGCCAGCAGGTGAGGGCAGTTGGGGGTGATTGGGCCAGCAAGGGAGCAGTTAGGCATTGATCAGGCTGGCAGGGGAGTGATTAAGAGGTGATCAGGCTGGCAGGCAGAAGCAGTTAGGGGCAATCAGGCAGGCAGGCAGGCAGGCAGGCAGGCAGGAAGGCAAGCGGTTGGGAGCCAGCAGTCTTGGCTGGTGAGAAAGATATCCAACTGCTGGTTTAGGCCGACATGCCCTGATTGGAAAAGGGTGCAGGCTGAGCTGAGGGACATGCCCCTCCCCCCAGTGCACAAATTTCATGTACTGGGCCGCTAGATAGAGTGTGTGTGTGTGTGTCCCCAATGGGCTTGTGGATGGGTAGCCTAGATGGGGAGAGGAATTCTAGCTTGGAGCACAGGCTTCCTGATAGACAGCAGGAGATGCTAGATGTGGCCCTAACTGGTTTGGCTTAGTGGATAGAGCATTGGCCTTCGCACTGAAGGGTCCCAGATTCGATTCTAGTCAAGGGCATGTACCTTGGTTGCCGGCACATCCCCAGTAGGGAGTGTGCAGGAGGCAGCTGATCGATGTTTCTCTCTCATTGATGTTTCTAACTCTCTATCCCTCTTCCTTCCTCTCTGTAAAAAAATCAATAAAATATATATTTTTTAAAAAAGTAAAACTAACCTTAACATTAAAAAACAAAAACAAAAAAAAACTAGCTAGTTTCATACCACTTCTTGCCTTGTCCTCTGCACCTTTTCCCTGGTACCTGTTTAAGCTCTGCAAGCTCTGCATTCTCAGGTAATAGACACAGATGGAGCCTTTCTTTGCTGCTTCCCGGCAACACTTCTCTGATATTAACTATGTGTCCTACCGTTTAATTCAGTTCAGTTCTTCTTCTTCTTCTTTTTTATAAGGATATTTGTTGTAGGACAACATTTTTTTTAAAATATATTTATTGATTTTACAGAGAGGAAGGGAGAGGGATAGAGAATTTGAAACATCGATGAGAGAGGAACCTTGATCAGCTGCCTGCAACCAAGGTACATGCCCTTGACCGGAATTGAACCTGGGACACTTTAGTCTGCAGGCTGACGCTCTATCCACTGAGCCAAACCAGTTAGTGCTCATTTTATTTATTATTTATTTTTAAAAAAAATATATCTTACTGATTTTTTTTTTACAGAGAGGAAGAGAGACTAGAGAGAGTTAGAAACGTCAGAGAGAAACATCGATCAGTTGCCTCCTGCACACCCCCTACTGAGGATGTGCCCGCAACCAAGGTACATGCCCCCAACCAGAATCGAACCTGGGACCTTTCAGTCTGCAGGCCAACGCTCCATCCACTGAGCCAAACCGGTTTCGGCTAGGGCTCATTTTAGTTCTTACACTGCCCAGAGTTAGTGCAGAGCCTACCTGATCAGGACTTCTTGATACCTAGGTAATGCCTAATTTAGACACCAACCATGAGTGTCTGTTCCTCTGCCTGACTAACTACAGGGTTGGGGTTCCCAGACCACCTCCATGAGGTTCCATATTCCCTACAGGAAGCACTGTACTTACTGTGGTTATAATGGACACAAATGGAGGGGATACATGGCCAAGGTCTTGGGGGGAGAGGAGCAAGAGCTTGTGTGCCTTTCTTCATGGCGCCTAGCCACCACCCTCCGGCACATCCATGTGTTCAGTCAGGAAAGTTGGTGGGCCTTGTTTCAGCTTTACCCAGATTTTCTTTTTCTTTTCTTTTTCTTTTTTTTTCTTTTTATTTTTTTTTTTTAACATATTTTATTGATATTTTACAGAGAGGAGGAAGGGAGAGAGAGAGCTAGAAACATCCATGAGAGAGAAACATCAACCAGCTGCCTCTTGCACACACCCTACCGGGGATGTGCCTGCAACCAAGGTACATGCCCTTGACCGGAATCGAACCCGGGACCTTTCAGTTCGCAGACTGACGCTCTATCACTGAGTCAAACCGGTTTCGGCTTTACCCAGGTTTTCATATGAAGGCGTAATGGATTAAATTACTGGCCGAGTAATTGGACTCAGTCTCCAGTCCCACTCCCCTATTGGGGGTCGAATGAGGCTGAAAGTTCCAGCCCTCAGATCACATGGTTGGCCTTGTGGCATAGTCAGCCCCTCTAGAAACGATTTCCTAGCCTGAGATTAGCTTAAACTCAGGTCTGGTCCAATAGGGCTTGTTGTAGTAACAAAGATTTCTAACACTCAAAAACTTCCAAGGATTCTTCCGGCCGAGACCGGTTTGGCTCAGTGGATAGAGCATCGGCTTGGGGACTGAAGGGACCCGGGTTCGATTCCGGTCAAGGGCATGTACCTTGGTTGCGGGCATATCCCCAGTAGGGGGTGTGCAAGAGGCAGCTGATCGATGACTCTCTCTCATCGATGTTTCTAGCTTTCTATCTCTCTCCCTTCCTCTCTGTACAAAATCAATAAAATATATTTAAAAAAAAAACCAAAAAAAAACTTCCAAGGCTTCTTGAAACTCTGTGCCAGAACTGGAGACAAAGACCAAACATATTCTGTACTATTCCACACCTGTCCCAGTCAAACAGTGAGTGTCCCGGTGGCTCTAACCTAGGCCAATATACGATGGGTTTAATTTTAGCTCCTTGTCCCAGGTGATGTGACTTCTGGCTGAGTTTCCGCTCTCAACTTGGGGCAGTTCTCTCCGGTGTCAGCAGCATCTCTGCCAGCTCTGTAATTCTCCTTCCTGATTGCTTTCAGTACCTAGGGTCCTGGACCACAGAAAAAGTTAAAGGAAGAGTCATCGAAATACTCTTTAGCTGGACAGTCTGGTTTCCAGAAGACATTAAGATCCGAGATGCTTATCAGATGCTGAAGAAACAAGGTCTGATTTCCAGTATTTGCGCTGTTTTCCCTTTTCACAATACTTGTTCTTTTTTGCTGTTTTGAGTGGTTGGTGCTTTTTTGGTGAAAATTGGACGTAGAGACTGAGACAAGTAATTTTCAATGTCTAGCTCTGGAGCTAGCTGGGTTGAAATTGTTGTTGCTGGGGTTGTCCTCACTGTACCAGACTTCAGGTTCCTTCAGGGTTAGCTTGTGTTGAAGGTATGGGCGGATTTGCTAGAATTTTTCTCAATGTCTGCTCCTCTGAGCTTGAGGTCTTCTGCAGTACCTCAGAGACGGTCTTGCGCCCTTGTCTTTCCCGGCAGCAGGTAGACCATTGTTGCTTGTTAATGTTGTTATTATCTCTGCTCTGACTAGGCCTCAGTCTGAGGCAGGCACTGTGTCCCTGGTCTCCAGAGGTAGACATACAGACACCGACACCCGGGGAGGAGGACAGTCTGTCCGCCCTGAGCTTCTGTACTCTGAGAGTTTGTATGCTGTCCTGTGTGGCGCTGGGAATTGACGCTCCCTTCCCCTGGGCTCCGTAGAGGAAGGACCTGGGTTCGGGATGGACTGTTTTCCATCACATGCACGCAATGATTTTAAGAGTGTCAGGGATCCTGCTGCAGTTTTTGGGCCCTGGGAGGTATGTACCTGCATAAAATGATCGGTATTTTTATAGCATAGAATCTGTCGGCTGCTAACCATAGGCTCTGGTTCTGCTCTGACTTAATCAGCCCTGATGTCTTGGTGCTAGTTCCTTCAGTTCTCTGGAGGGAGGATGCAGAGTGTACCCTGGATGTATCTTTTAAGGCCCTTGACAGCTGGGCATCAGGAATCCAGGTTTATATGGGATCCTGATTAAGTCAGTGGGTATCCTTATCAGTATCTTCACTTCATGAATTGCATGTTTCAGGAATCATAAAGCAAGACCCTAAACTACCAGTGGATAAAATCTTGCCCCCACCTTCTCCCTGGCCCAGGAACTCCATCTTTGATGCCGATGAAGAAAAGTCAAAGGTAAGGAGCTCTTCCCTGACCTTGGTGGCCTACCTGGAATCTGATCAGACCCCTTCTTGTGGGGACTCCCTTCACATGTTCCCTGGAATGTCTTCTGAGCCCTGAACCAAAGTATGGGAGAACATGATAATGGGTTTAGTGAGTTCTCTCTAGAGCAGGTTTTTACGAGTGAGATAGCATAAGGGTTGGGTGTTTTCTGTGGTGCCGATAGTCAGTCATATGGAAATAACCCGTTGTATGTTGGCTTAGGTATTTTTAGTGCAGTAAGCCTGATCCTACCCATCTTCTTCCTCCCCCCCTTTTTGTTTTTTAATTTGTGTACAATTTAATGAACTTCCTTCCATGTAGCTTCAAGACACCAGGACACAGGGCCCCCCACACCCTTCATCTTCTCAGCTCTTCTGCTGAAAAACTTGCCCTTCACAATGACAGGCTGCTTTGGAGCTTTCCCTTCCCCAGAACTTTGTAGTAGCCGATTGCACCACCTCAGTGATAGGAGCAGCTCCAGTCTTGCTCTTGACAGCATTTACCCGCGTCTGCTCACTGACCAGGGTCTACAATTGACAATTGGGCAGAAGCTCTGGTTTCTCTTTAAGTGGTCATGTCTCATACCCACTTTCCTGAAGTAGCCTGGGTGATATTTGTCGAAGTTGATCCTGTGACGATGCAAGCCACCCTGTGCTTCCTGTGCTTGCTGATGCGGCCGTGGCCGTGGCTCATGTGGCCCCAAAGTTTCCGGGTCCTCTTCAGGCTGGATGGCATGTTGGTGGACAAGATGCAAAAGACCCACCCATTTTTCTTCTACTGCCTCCAAGAATCTTCAGACATCAGTAAGGGGAAGGACGTGGTCAAAACCCAGGCAGAGACCCTGAGCTACCTTAGACCAGTGGTTCCCAATGTGGGGCACATGCCCACAGGGGGGCAATTTGTTTTGTAAGGGGGCAATTCGAGAATGAGTTATGAACAGTGAAATTTTGCACTTATGGTTCCAGGGAGCTTCATATACAGTATATAAATTCATATTGTGACACATTTATGCGTAGTTTTCTATTATATATTTTGAAACTTTATTTGCTATTTTTTTCATATCACTTCATATATATATATATATATATATATATATATATATATATATATTTTTTTTTTTTTAACAATTTCTTAGTGATTTCTTCCTCAGTACTCCCAACTGTCCTTTTGTTTTTTTCTTCTCTTTCATGGGTGCCATGTTCTTTGGAAGCTTGTATAGACCAAGATAATGGCCGTTTAGGCCCCTCCACCTCAATAGGAGTTCACTTTTTGAATAATAAGAATTATATGTCATGGGTGGGGGCATCAGGATTTTAGAGATGCTTAGGAGGGACCTGTGACAGGAGGGACCAAAAACAGGTTGGGAAACACTGCCCTAGAGCATCAGTGGTGGCAGAGCTTTGGGTTGTTCCTGATCTTGGTCCCTCACAGGTCTGGTAAGTGCAGTACCAGGAGAGCGCCAGGCCATATGTGTGTCTCTCTGGTACCCACGGCTTTCCAGCTGTGCCTTCCTTCTCTGGACCAGGTCCTCAGTGGCATGGCATCCTGGAGGCAGACGAGCAGGGCTGCTCTGTGCTCCCTGTCTCCTCTCTGCTGGTGTCTAACATTATAGAGAGTGGAAAGAGCAAGAGAGGAGATAGGGCTTGGACTTCTGAGAAAGAAACCTGAGAGAGCTGCTTACACTCTGGACTCAGTGTCCTCATCTTTTCTGCCCTCCATCCAGCAAAGATTGAGTGACTCCTATGTGCCAGGCGTTCTGCTGGGCATTGGGAATAAAGCAAACACTATCGCCAAAGGCTGTCGCCTCATAGAGTCCACTAGATCCAGGATCATCCCCAGTTGTGACAACCAGAGTGTCTCCTGACTTTCAAGTGTCTCCTGGGGCTATCATCCTCCACCCTACCCACTGAAACCAGTGGTCTGTGGTGACAGTGGTAGTACTTACATGGCTGCATGATTGCTCAGATTTGCTCAGATAATGCATGTGAAATGTAAAGCTCCTATTAGGGGCTTGATGCCATACGTTGCTTGATGCCATACGTTGGCCATTTGACACCATGGGGAATAGTTCAACCTACTCTTCTTGTTCACCTGCAGCTTCTGACAAGGCTTCTGAAGAGCAGCCACCCTGAGGATCTGCAGGCTGCAAATCGGCTGATCAAGAGTTTGGTCAAGGAGGTGGGCGTTTTCCCACCGCATTCTGCAGAACCAGCCTTGGACAGGGCTGCACAGTGTGTGTGTGTGTGTGTGTGTGTGTGTGTACAGCTCTCTGGGGGAGGGAGTACCTTACTCTGAGCTGGGGAACAGCCATGGGCTTCCCAAGGTCCCAGGTGGTGACTGGAAACGGGCCATGCTATGTGCTTTCCAAGGACTTCCATCCAGGAGCACAAAGTGTCTCACAGACACCAGTTTCTGTCCCAGTGGCAGTATAGTGTGGACAGATCCCATCTGGGAATCTGTTTTTTCAGAGAGTGAAGGCTGGTTGTACAAAGTAGTGGCTCGCCAGGCTCCTGGCTACATTGTCTTCCTCAGGAATCCTGGGCAAGCACTTCCTCATCCGTTCGTGACTTGCCTGAGCTCTCCCCTGTGCAATGCCCCTTCCCACCCCCTGTTCAGCTTCCAGGCCTTCAGCTTCCTCACTGCCATCCTCTCTCCCAAAGGAGCAAGAGAAATCTGAGAAGGTATCCAGGAGAGTCAGTGCCGTGGAGGAAGTGCGGAGCCACGTGAAGGTGCTGCAGGAAATGCTGAGCAGGTATCGCAGGCCGGGGCAGGCTCCGCCAGACCAGGAGGCCCTGCAGGTACTCTTCTCTAATCGCAAAGAAATAAAGGAAGGAAATCATTCAGGAGACGCTAAATGTAACTGACATGCTAGAAACTGCACCTCTTTCCAGTGTATTTGCTGCATGTTGACGTGTTCACCTGTGCAGCCATCGTTAAGATCAAGAATTCTTTTTTATTTTATTCTCATCTGACAATATGTTTTCATTGATTCTTTTAGAGAGAGAGAAACAGCAATTGATTGCCTCCTGCATGTACCCTTACCTGGGATCGAACCCGTAACCTAGGCATGTGCCCTGACTGGGAATCGAACCCACAACCGGTTGATAAATAGGACGACACTCCAATCAGTTGAGCCACCCAGCTAGGGTACAATGAAGAATTCTTCATAGATTCTGGATGTGCTCTGTGGGTTGTTTTTTAACTTTCTTGACTGTCTTTTGAAGCAAAAAGTTTTTAATTTTTTTAAAGATTTAAAAAAATTGCTTTTTAGAGAGAGAGGAAGGAAAAGAGAAACATTGATCGACTGCCTCCTGCATGCCTCCTACCAGGGATGGCAACCCAGACAGGTGCCCTGACCAGGGATGGAACTGGCAGCAACCTTTCAGTGCACAGGACAACACCCAGCCAACTGAGCCATGTTGGCCAAGGCACAGATTTTCATTTTGAAGTTCAGTTTGTCCCTTCTTTTCTTTAATTGATGATGCTCTGGTGTCGCAGCTAAGACACACCACCACTTGGTGTAGCCAGGCAGGGGATGGTGGGAAAGTCTGAGTCAGCCATTCTTAGTCTTTCTGCTTCCCTCACAGGCTACATCCATCACTTTCTGCATTCTGGCTTTTTATACTTCTCTGCATAGGGGAGACCCTTCACAAAGTTTATCCGCCCTTCCATTTCACAAAGCTAGCAGAAACAAATTAGGCCTTTCCTATACCAAATTCCTGAGAGAAAAATCTATTTGGCCCGTGTGGCTCATGTGTCTGCCTGGGCCAATCAGCTGTGACTGGGGTTGGGCAGAGTTATAGAGAACAATGTGCTGGTCTCCACTGTGGCTGGAGGGGACTGGACTCGGAAGGGTTGGGGTCTTTAGCCAGGCAGACACTCTAAAGCCAATCTCCATGGTGAGATTGTGTGACTGGGGCTGGCCCTGCCCCTTTCACATATCAGGAGACCTCTGGGTTTTTGACTTGAGCGGGAACAAATTTAAGACACGAATCCAGGTGAAGCGAAAGTTTATTAAAGGTTAGGACAGTGAGGCAAAGGAAGGGCCCTTAGAGACAGGTTCAGAGGTTAGCCTGGGATGAGCTGCTGCTGACCACTGCTCCCTGGTTGCAAATCTTGTGGGGACCCTTAGAGCTTGGGGTAAAGAAAGCAGAAGCACACACCTAAGGAAAGAGGTACCGGGGTGCTCAAACAAGAGTGCAAGCTAGTGTTCTTTGGAGGTGTGTCTGTTTTCTAGAGGTGGAAGTTACAGGGGAGGGCTGGGAGAATGCTCATTGGATTTCCAGATATGACCGTTAGTATTGATGTACTAAAATGAGCATATAATGGAGTCTTGAGCCACTTTCCTGGTCCGTTTTTCCTCCATCTTACATTAGTCTGAATCTAACTGGTCCCTGACTGGTTATTTAAACCACCTGCTCTTAGGTCTCTTTGTTTGGGAGGACAGGATCTTGTCATTTATCAGCTGGGTGTTAATTGCGCAGTCCTGCTGGCTGGTGGTTCAGCCATTTGTCTCAGTTTCCTCATTGCACTTGCGAGGGAATTTTCCTAGTTTTTACTAACCTGCCTCAGCTGTACCAGAGTCCCTCAGGAGGGTCGGCATGTTGGGCTTTTAAGTAGGACAGTTTTGCCCTGGCCGATGTGGCTTGGTGGGATGTCCATCATCCCTTGTATCAAAAGGTCAGAGGTTTTAGTCCCCCGTCAGGCACATGCCCAGGATTTGGGTTCCATCCCCAGTTGGGGTGTGCAAGTAGCAGCCAAATTGATGTTTCTCTGTTTCTCCCTCTTCTTTCCCCTCTTGCTCTCAAATCAATAAAAACATACTTTAAAAAAATGTTTTAAAAAAATAGCACAGTTTTCCCCCAGCCAAGATAATAACCAGCTACAAGATAATGCAGTTGGAAATAAAAGTTCATCTTTAGAATGGATAAAGCTGATGTTAGAAAATGTAGCAGATAAATGTCGGCCAGTGGCTTGCTGATACTGAACCCTCCTGCCACCTAAGATGTTGCTGGCACACCGTTGTCCTTCCCACAAGGGATTCCTTCTTTAAAACTTAGAGCAGGTAGGAGCAGATCCAAGTGTGGGCTTCCATAGAGGCAGGTAGCACTCGGAGCAGAGCTGGAGGAAGGGGCTCCTGCTTCCTCTCCCAGATTCGCCTGTTGGATGTGCTCTTTCCTCAGCGCCAGGGAGAGGGCTGGAGTGTTAGTGCGGTTCTTGTGCAGGGAGGGAGCTGGAGATGTGCAGAAGCTGTGTGCTCCTCAGCAGTGTGGACGGCCAGGTGGTCTGGCGCAGCAGTCACCAATTGGTGTTCCGTGAGGTCCGAAAGGTTGGCGACCTCTGGCCTGGAGCACTCGCTCTGCGATGATGGAGATGAGATTTCCCACGTGGTGTTGGGCGAAGGGGGGGTGGCGGGTGATGTTTAGTTTGGAGAAACTGGTGGGAATGATGGGAATGTTGCTGTAAAGAGAATACCAGTCCCCGACAGCAGTTGGATGGGGGTCTCCACAGGCTTCCATGGGGGTGTCATTCACTGCAGTCTGCTCTCGGGGGAGTAGGTAAAGGGAGCTCGAAGAAGAGTATGTTGTACACTAACATAGTAGTTTCTTTCCGAGCTAAAGTCCTAAAAAAGACACAACACATTATTGCCGAAACCCGTTCGGCTCAGTGGATAGAGCGTCAGCTTTGGACTGAAAGGTCCCAGATTCAATTCTGGTCAAGGGCATGTACCTTGGTTGTGGGCACATCCCCAGTAGCGGGTGTGCAAGAGGCAGCTGATCGATGATTTTTTCTCATCTATGTATCTAACTATCCCTCTCTGTAAAAAATAAATAAAATATTTTTTTAAAAAAAAGCAAAACACATTATTGATGGATTTGAGAGAGAGAGAGGAAGGAAGAAAGTGAGAAACACTGATTTGTTGTTCCACTTATTTACATATTCACTGGGTGATTCTTGTATGTGTTCTGACCGGTTTGGTGGTGAACCTGCAACCTTGGTGTATAGGGACGACACTCTAACCAACTGAGCTGCCCGGCCAGGGTTGAGCTAAGGTCTGATCACTTTTTAACTATTATATTAAAAAATTCCCATACAATTATAGTCCAGGCTGTTTCTGAAACTAACTACCCTGTCCCTTCAAACCTGCAGTCATGAATTCGGGCTGATGGAGAAGAGCTCCTGGCCCGGCTCTCATATGCTTAGCAAACCCTGGCCTCCCTGTGGGTCCCGGGCGTGTGGTGAGCCGAGCTCTGTTCCAGGTTGTGTATGAGAGGTGTGAGAAGCTGCGGCCCACCCTGTTCCGGCTGGCGGGCGACACTGTGGACGACGACGACGCACTAGGTAACGGCGCTCTCTTGGCACAGGCAGCAGCCCAGGTGCAAGCAGGCGCTCCTTCCTGTGGTGCCCTGGGGTGCAGGGACAAGGCAGAATGGACTTTAGGGTTTATGGTGATGGGCTCAGGAAGGGCATGCCCTAAGTTGACTTAGGACTGATTTCTAGAAGAATCTAGTCTTGAGCAAGAAATCAGTATCTGGTCTGAAGCCATGGAAGGGGGAAATGTACCATGTAGATTTGGTATGAGACTGAGAGAAGAAAGGGAGGATAGTGCTGGTGGCCTGAAGAAACGCTGGACGTTTCACAGTGGCTGTCTGTGGTCATGTTGGAGGTTCCCCCACCTGGGTACCTTCAGGGGCTGGGCAGGAACCTAAGGAGTTAGGGTTAGGGAGAGAGGAGCAATTTTTTTAATCCTCACCCAAAGACATTGCTTATTGATTTTAGAGGGAAAGTATGGATGAGAGAGAAACATCAATGTGAGTGAGAAACATCACTCCATTGTACTCCTCCCCTCCCCCCAGCTGGGGATTGGACCTGCAACCTAGGTATGTGCCCTGACCAGGAATCAAACTGTGCAATCTTTTGATGTACAGGATGGTGCTCCAAGCAGCTGAGCCATAGGGCTAGGGCAGGAGACTGGAGAATTTTAGTACCTGAACACAGGTATTAAAACATTTTGAGGGGGAGTGGGGAGTCAGTGTGAGGATAAGGACACATATGTAATACCTGAATCAATAAAGAAAGAAAGGGGGAGGGGGATAAACCCATTTTGGAAAAACACACACACACACACACAAAAAATATTTTGTTTGCCCCGCCTGTGTGGCTCAGTGGTTGAGTGTTGACCCATGAACCAGGAGGTCATGGTTCAATTTCTGGTCAGGGCACATGATGTTGCAGGCTTGATCCCATGTGGGGGGCATGCAGGAGACAGTGATGTTTCTCTCTCTCTCTCTCTCTCTCTCTCTCTTTAATCCCCCTCCTCTCCTTCCTCTTCCTTTCTATCTCTGAAGTCAATAAGAAGTTCAAAACATTTTAGCCTAGCTAGTTTGATTCAGTGGATAGAGCGTTGGTCTACAGACTGAAGGGTCCTGGGCTCGATTCCGATCAAGGGCACATATCTAGGTTGCGGACTCAATCCCCAGTAGGAGGCACGCAGGAGGCAGCTGATCAGTGATACTCTCTCATCATTAATGTTTCTATCTCTGACTCCCTCTCTGAAATCAATAAGAAAACACACAGCCATATTTTAAAAAATTTTTTTTTATTGAAACTCAACAAACACATCATAAAGGGAAATAGTAGAATAAATCCTAGGTACTCTTCTCCTAATGACAATGACCAAGTCATGACCAGTTTTCCCATTTTGTTTCTTCTGTAACACACTTTCCCTCCACCCCCCCATTCTATTTTGAATCAAATTCCAAACATTTCAAAGTCAGTGTTCAGAGTTCTTTGGCGTTTCCTTCTTTAACTATTTAACTACTTTCTACTGTTTGGCACCCCCCCTCCTTTTTAAATAGTTTGTTCTAAACCAGACTAAAAAGAAAAACCATACTTTGAAATTGGTTGATATTTCTTTCTTTTTCTTTTTCTTTTCTTTTTTTTTCTTATTATTTTTTTATATATTTTATTGATTTTTTTTACAGAGAGGAAGGGAGAGAGATAGAGAGCTAGAAACATCAATGAGAGAAACATCAACCAGCCGCCTCTTGCACACACCCCATTGGGGATGTGCCCACAACCAATGTACATGCCCTTGACCGGAATCGAACCCGGGACCCTTCAGTCTGCAGACCGATGCTCTACCACTGTGCCAAACCGGTTTCCATCTTTTTCTTTTTTTAAAATGTTGTTTTTAGAGAGAGTAAAAGGGAAAAGGCCAAAGAGTTAGAGACATTGGTGAGAGAGAAGCATGGATCGGCTGCCTCCTGCACATTCCCTCCTGGGGATCAGACCTGCAACCGGGAATTGATCTGGTGACTCTTGGTGCATGGGATGACAATCCACGGAGCCCCACAGGCAGTTGATATTTCTCATCTTTTAATGGATAGCCCCCATTCTGTCCTTTAAAAAAAAATTTTTTTTAAATTGATTTCAGAGAGGAAGGGAGAGAGAGAAACATCAATAATGAGAGAGAATCATTGATAGGCCGCCTCCTTCATGCCCCTTACTGAGGATCAAGCCCGAAACCCAGGCATGTGTCTTTTACCAGAATCGAACCCGGGACCCTTCAGTCTGCAGGTTAATGCTCTTCCACTGAGTCAAACCAGGTAGGGCTGTGAAAAATGTGTCCTGTGACTTGCAGAGTTTTTTTTTTTTGTTCTCAGTTTTCTGATGGCATCCCCATGGTGTTTACTGTGAGTCTCTGTTCCTGAGATTCCTTATCAGTTGGGTCAGGGGCCTTGATCAGATTCAGGTTCACTTGGGGTGGGCTAAGGAGGACAAGAATACTTCATAGGTGGTGTTCAAGAGGCCCCCAGTGTCTGGTTGTTGGCAGGAAGCAATAGGAGGGTCCCTTCTGGGAAGGAACCTTCTGGCACTTGGGCCTCCATGGCCCCTGGCCCTGTGCTCTCCTGTCTGTCTCTCCTGGGAGTGATTTTTTTCAGGTAAACTAGACCATGAGAGGCTCGTGTAGTTTTTGAAATCTGGGTGTATTTTATACTTTCAGGACATTTTAATTTGGACATTAAATTTTCTTCAGGAATGCTTGATCTATATTTAGATTTTAAAAGGGTAGATTTATGTAACAGTTTGTTCCCTACATACTTAAAAGCTTTTTACTAACTGAATAAAGTACCCCAAAATTCTTAATAATATTCACATCCACATTGATAAAACAGCTTTCTGTTTTAATTTTAGATTAATTAAAGTTTTGGTTCCTTAGTTGATGGAAACATATTTCAGCATTAGGCTATCATGTTGGACAGAACAAGCATAGAAAGTGAAAAAATTTGGTTCCTCTTCTATCATGAAAATGGAAATGTAGGGGTTCAGGGATTAAGTGATTGGATATGATAGAGGGGCCTGATCACATGATCAGGAGAGATAGGGATAACACCCCATCTGGCAGCCATGGGACATCTGCCTTGTGGAATGGCTTAAAAAGGACTCCAGGCTGGCTGGCATAGTTCAGTGGTTGAGTGTAGACCTATGAATTAGGAGATCACGGTTCGATTCCTGGTTAGGGCACATGCCTGGGTTGCGGGCTTGATCTACACAGCCCCAATGTGGGGTGTGCAGGAGGCAGCTGGTCAATGATTCTATCTCTTCATTGATGTTTCTTTTCTTTTAAAAGAAACAAATATATTTTTAGTAGAGGCCCGGTGCATGAAATTTGTGCACTTGGGTTCCCTCAGCCCAGCCTGCACCCTCTCACAGTTTGGGAGCACTTGGAGGATGTCGAAGTGCCGGCTTAGGCCCGCTTTCCATGGGTCTAACCGTCAATTGGACATTTTCAGGAGAGGCTCCCTTCACACCGCTGTGCTCACCAGCTGTGAGCCTGGCTCAGGGCTTCTGGCTGAGCAGCGCTCCCCCGTGAGAGTGCACTAACCACCAGGTGACAGCTCCTGCATTGAGTGTCTGCCCCTGGTGGTCTGTGTGTTATAGGGAATGGTCGTTCTGCCATTCAGTTGATTTGCAATAATAAATATTAGCCTTTTATTATATAGGATTGATTTTAGGGAGGAAGAGAGATTGGAACATCAATGATGATAATCATTGATCAGCTTCCTCCTACATGCCCCCTACTGGGGATGGAACCTGCAACCCAGGCGTGGGTCCTTGACCAGAATCGAATCCGAGACCCTTCAGTTCATAGGCCGATGGTCTATCCATTGAGTCAAACTGGCTAGGGCTCGTCAGTGATGTTTCTTTCTCTCCCTTTCCTTTCCCCTCTGTGATCAGTAAAGAAATATATTTTTTGGGGAAAAAGATTGGTTATTGGTAGCCAAACTTGGGGACTGTGATTTCTCTCATTCTCCAGCGGAGATTCTCCAGGCGAACGACCTCCTCACCCAAGGAGTTCTGCTGTACAAACAGGTGATGGAGGGCCGCGTCATCTTTGGGAGCACGGTGACCAGCACAGCAGGAGACACACCTGTCTCCAGAGGTATGTGCAGAGGGCCTCTCTGTACCCTCTGCCTTGGAGCAGCCTCAGATCCTAGGGACGAGATGATCCGCAGAATATCCTGGGTTATGACGTGGAAATGAGAAAACTCTCCCTCTCTCTTTCCTCTGAGAACTGCCACATGTGTCGTGATGGACTGACTGGCAGGCTGGACCCCAGCTTTGCTAGACACAGCAGCAGATGGCTGTATTGCACCCAGGTTTAGACTCCTTTTTTCATGTGTGCTTATTATGGGAACTGGAGACCAAAAAAATGATCTTCAGTGGTTTCTGACCCCTGCTAGCTGCATCAGTGTCACCTGGACTCTGGTTAAAATACAAATTCTCAGGCCCCTGGCCTGGACTTTCTGAGTCAGGATTGCTTAGAGCGAAGCGGGGTGTGTGCATGTTTATCAAGTCCTGCAGCTGTTTCTGGTTAGCTGTGGTTGGGAACCTCAGAGGGGCTCTGAGCTGCAGAAGCCAGCTGGCTGTGTCCAGGCTGAATGGACACCAGAGAACGACTGGCTGCTTGCGGGAAGGCAATCCTCTGGCTCCTCATTCCAGGCCCCACGCTGACTCTCTGTCAAGCTCTCCACTTGTGGTGGGAGGTGTTGGGGGTGCTAAGGGCGGGGTGCTGTGATGTCCACTGGAGGAGGCCCGAGGGAAGCTGGTGGCTTTAAGCAGAGACTTTGCTCTCACTCTGAATGAAGAGCCTCCTCAATCCGTTCTCTAGTCTTGCAGAGTCCAGCAGCCTGCCCGAGGAGCTGCCTGATTGACCTGGAGCTGGACAGTGGGTCTGAGCAGGCTGTGCCTGGGGCGCCATCTCTGCTTCATCAGGACCTGGCAGCCTTAGGTGAGGGAGTGGTTTGGGGAGCAGCAAGAATGGTCTTGGCTCCCCAGGGAGTGGGTAGGCTGGGTCCCCTGGGAGGGAATGTGCCTGTTTTTAGAGGGAAGTGGGTATTCTGGGAAGCTCACTGTGGGTGCAGTGAATGCCTGTGGGTTCTCTGCTTTGGGCTTTCTAAGTGCCCTGGAAAGGGTGGGCATGGTGCCGCTCTCCCTCCTGTCAGCATGAGTGACTCTGTCCTCTCTTGTAGGAATCAGTGATGCTCCAGTTACCAGCAAGGTAAGGAGGCTCTTCCCAGGGCCCGCAGGGGAGTGGAGGGACAGCTGTCGAGGAGAGGGGCTAGCGTGGGGTGCTTTAGACTTGGGAGGCCAAAGCCTCTTCCTCAGTCTGCTGTCTGGTGGCAGCCCCACAGGGCACATGTCCTGTCTCCTCCTCGTGCCTGCTCCTCTTGTAGTGCCTGGGCTCTGCTCTTGCCTTCCTGCCTCAGGCAGTGTAATCAACCTGGAATGCAGTAGCTTTGGTGGGTCAGGAGAGCTATGCCACGTGTCACCGTAGCTAGTGGTCATTCATACCCTGGCCTCATATTAGCTGTTCCTGGTTTGGCAGGTTGCTGAGCAGAGTTGCTGTAAGGAAAAGAGGAATCCTGCGGGCACACTGCAGGGTGGCGGTGTTCAGAGCCCGTCAGCAGAGAGGAGCGTGCTGGACCTCCTCTCCCCACAGTCACCTTCTGGCGCCCTGTGAGTCATGGGGGCAGGGGAGCGAGAGGAGGGCTCCTTGCATGGGGGAGGGGTGACCCTCGAAGACAGGCAGAGACGTCGCTCTGCAGAGGCTTCTTTGCTTCCCTCTCCCTCCTCTTACTCTCATCCCCAGTGAGGAAAGGACACCCTTGGCCAAGGGCTCTGGAGAGGGTTTGTTAAAGCAGCAACAGCAGTGTGTGATGATGTTTTTGTTTGCAGGTTGAGGATTGTTTGTTTGTTTTTTCCTGGTTATTATATAACTAGAGGCCGGATGCATGAAATTCATGCACAAGTAGGCCTTCCTTCCCCCGGCTGCCGACACTGGCTTCCTTCCGGCACCCGGGACCCGGGCTTCCCTCACAGCCCCAGCTTTGTCCAGAAGGTCGTCCGGAATGATGTCTGGTCTAATTAGCATATTATGCTTATATTATTATAGATTTGAAGTTAAGTAAAAAAAAAATTTTTTTAATATATTTTATTGATTTTTTATAGAGAGGAAGATACAGGGATAGAGAGCTAGAAACATCGATGAGAGAGAATCATTGATTAGCTGCCTCTTGCACACCCCCACACTGGGGATATGCCTGCAACCAAGATACATGTCTTTGACCGGAATCGAATCTGGAACCCTTCAGTCCGCAGGCCAACACTCTATCCACTGAGTCAAACCAGTTTCGGCTAAGTAAAATTTTATCACTAGAGAAATAGTTAATATAGAAAATACCAATATCAACTCCTAAAGACAATGTTGAATATTACTTTTTTGTGTGTTTTTTTTTTATACATGTAGAAATGTGTTATTGGCATTTATTTTTATACAGATGGGGTCATAATTTATAAACTACTCCAATGTGGATTTTTTCATATCACATTTTATCTTTGATATGTGTGCATGTCAGTTTATATAAATAGTTATATAACAATTCATATATGCTCATATATGTGTATTTAATCATTTCCCTCTTGTGGATCTTTCCATAGCTTCCAGTTTGGAGGCACTTGGGGCCGTGGTTATAGTACAGGTTTCCTTAAACAGAGGTGCTTCGAACTATGAATGCGAACACATTTCCCGAGACCTTGTCCCTTTGCCTTTGGAAATATTAGTAGCCCGAGTGCTATGACCCTGATGGAGAGAGACCACTGGGCTCTGGTGGCAGGGATGTGCGGGAGGGGCTTCTTTTCAGTTCTGTCATCACTCCACGGGGGCCAGCTATCATTCTTATTTTTATGGGTTATTTTTCTGGACTTTAGTTTTCCAAAAATGTTTCAGTTTGGGTTGCAAATGGATAACATCATCAAGAAGTGTGAATGAAGTGGTGCCTGAATCTGTGACCATCTTCCTGGCTTCCGTTTCGCTGGGAATCACATGTAGGAAACAGCCTGGCTGAGCTGCCTGTGGTCAGGCTGCCTGATAGCCACATTGGTTACTTTATTAGCTTATTGGATCCTCATTATGTCACACATTCCACTGAGTACTTTCCAGGCATTTGCTCATTTAATTCTAACAACACTCAGAGAAGTGAGGCCTAGGTTACATTACTTATCTAGGTTTCATTACTTATCTAATCCACCTGGTGTGGCTCAGAGGTTGAGCATCCACTTATGAACCAGGAGGTCACTGTTCGATTCCTGGTCAGGGCATGTACCTGGGGTTGTGATTCCCAGTGGGGTATGCAGAAGGCAGCCAATGCATGATTCTCTGTCATCATTAATGTTTCTATCTCTCCCTCTTCCTTCCCCTCTGAAATCAATAAAGTATAAAAAGACAAGTCTCATACCTCTAAAACACACACACATACTCACATATACATATATGTGTTTTATTTTTTTTCTTTCCCTTTCTTATCTTGTTCTTTAGAAAGCATAGTCACAGATTCCTATAATCTATCTTGATATTTTTTATATTTCTTTGTAGGAATTATATTCCACAGAAAAATATCCCCAAGGAGGTGGCACCAGGTACTAAGTCCTCTCCAGGTTGGTCCTGGGAGGCTGGCCCATTGGCTTCGTCTTCCTCTTCTCAGAATACACCTCTGGCTCAAGTGTTTGTCCCTTTGGCGTCTGTTAAGCCCAGTAAGTGCAGTTTCACCTTTTTTGTTTTCTTTCTTTTTTTCTATTAGATGCCCAGCTTTATCCCATGAAAAGATGGGTGATAGAGGTTTTGCCTTGGGGTAGAAGATAAGGAGGTAGTTTCACATCTCTTAGCTAATATTTTCCTTAACTAGAGGTCCGATGCAAGATTCGTGCAAGAACGGGCCTTCCTCCCCCTGGCTGCCAGTACGGCCTTTGTTCCGGCCTGGAGCCGCCTTTCCACCTTCCCACACTGCCTAAAGGCTCACTTGCATCATTGCCATGGCGTCGATGCAAGCGTCCTGTCCCTGGCCACTCAGTGCCTGTGTATGCAAATTAACCTGCCATCTTTGTTGGGTTAATTTGCATTCCCACTCCTGATTGGTGCGTGTTACAAATGTACTGTCAGTTTGCATCTCTCTCTTTTGTTAGTGTAGACTAGAGGCTCAGTGCACAAAATTTGTGTTTGAGGGTGTGTGTCCTTCAGCCCAGCCTGCACCCTCTCCAATCTGGGACATCCCTCTCACAATCTAGGACTGTTGGCTCCCAACTGTTTGCCTTCCTGATTGCCCCTATTCTCTTCTGCCTGCCAGCCTGTTCACCCCCTAACCACTCCCCTGCCAGCCTGGTCACCCCTAACTGCCCTCCCCTGCAGGCTTGATCACCCCCAACTGCTCTCCCCTGTAGGCCTGGTCCCTCCCTACTGTCCTCCTCTGTTGGCCTGATCACCCACAACTGCCCTCCTTTGCAGGCCTGGTCCCTCCCAACTGCCCTCCCCTGATGGCCATCTTGTGTCCACATGGGGGCAGCCATCTTGTGTGTTGGAGTGACAGTCAATTTACATATTATTCTTTTATTAGATAGGATGATTTCTTTGTCTTGGGGTGGATGCTGTGAAGGATATTGTCAGGTGGAATTTAACTAGGGTGATTGAATCTGCTTACGGACTTGATGTTCATTCATTTGGAATCAAGAAGGGAATGTTCAGTGTGGCTTGAAATAATTCAGAAGAGGAGGAATGAGAAGGAAATTAGGAAATTGATTGGTGATTCTCTTCCTCTAAGGATCTTCTTTTTTTTTTATTTAATTTTTTTATTAAATCATCTGTGTACATATTTTACCATTGCCCTCACCCCTCCCATACATACCCACCCTTCCCAGAGTTTTGTGTCCATTGGTTGTACTTATATGCATGTTTACAAGTCCTTCGGTTGATCTATTATCTCCCCCAGATCTCTCTCCCCTCCCCATTGTAATTTGACAGTCTGCTTGTTGCTTTACTGTCTCTATATCTATCTTTTGGTTCATCAGTTTATAATGTTCTTTATTATCCATAAATGAGTGAGGTCATGTGGTGTTTCTCTTTCATTGACTGGCTTATTTCACTCAGCATGATGTTCTCCAATTCCATCCAGGTTGCTGCAAATGATGAGAATTCCTTCTTTTTTATGGCAGCATAGTATTCCATTGTGTAGATGTGCCATAGTTTTTGGATCCAATCATCTACTGATGTGCACCTAGGCTGTTTCCAAATCCTAGCTATTGTAGATTGTGCTACTATGAACATAGGGGTGCATATATCCTTTCTGATTGGTGTTTCTAGTTTCTTGTGATATAATCCTAGGAGTGGGATTACTGGGTCAAATGAGAGTTCCATTTTCAGTTTTTTGAGGAAACTCCACACTGTTCTCCACAGTGGCTGCACCAGTCTGCATTCCCACCAGCAGTGCACGAGGTTCCTTTTTCTCCGCAACCTCGCCAACACTTGTCGTTTGTTGATTTGTTGATGTTGGCCATTCTGACAGGTGTGAGATGGTACCGCATTGTTGTTTTGATTTGCATCTCTTGGATAATTAGTGACTTTGAGCATGTTTTCATGTGCCTTTTGGCCTTCCTTCTGTCTTCTTTTGAAAATATTCTATTTAGGTCCATTGCCCATTTTTTAATTGGATCATTCATTTTCCTTTTATTTAGTTGTATAAGGTGTCTGTAGATGTTGGAGATTAAACCTTTATCAGTGATAACATTTGCAAATATGTTCTCCCACACCGTGGGCTTTCTTGTTTTGTTGATGGTTTCTTTTGCTGTAAAAAAGCTTTTTATTTTTATGTTTTCCCATTGATTTTTTTAAGAGAGAGATAGTGGGAGAGAAACATTGATGTGAGAAACCCCAACCAGGTTCATACCCTTGACCGGTACTCAAATCCTTGGGCATGTGAGCTGATACTCTAACCGCTGAGAACATTGGCCAGGGCTGAATTGGATATATTCTTTTTTTTTTTTTTAATTTTTTTATTTGTGTGTGTGTGTGTGTGTGTGTGTGTATTTTAAATTTTATTGCATTTTTAATTTTTAATTTTTATTTATTAATTTTTAAATCTTTATTGTTCAAAGTATTGCATATGTCCCCTTTTCTCCACAATTACCCCCTCCAGTCTGCCACTGTCCCCCTCCCCTTGCCCCAGGCTGTATATACATACCGTGTCTTTGGTTGATTACCTCCCATCCATCCTCCCTCCCCCGTCTTTCTTCTGAGATTCTGTATTCTGTTCCCTGCTTCCATGTCTCTGGATCCTCTCTGTCCGTCAGTTTATTTTGTTAATTAGATTCCACATATGAGTGAGATCATGTGGTACTTGTCTTTCTCTGACTGACTTACAATGATATTCTCCATGTCCCTCCATGCTATATATATTCTTTTTTAAAAATATATTTTAATGATTTTTACAAAGGGGAAGGGAGAGAGATAAATAGTTAGAAACATTGATGAGAGAGAAACATCCATCAGTTGCCTCCTGCACACCCCCTACTGGGGATGTGCCTGCAGCCAAGGTACATGCCCTTGACTGGAATCAAACTCCGTACCCTGCAGTCCACAGGCCAAAATGGTTAGGGCTGGATATATTCTTAAAAGTAGAAATGCTGGCCATAGCCGGTTTGGCACAATGGGTAGAGTGTTGGCCTTCGGACCAAAGGGTCCTGGCTTCTATTCCGATCAAGGGCACATACTTGGTTGCAGGCTCCTCCCCAGCCCAGGTGCTGGTTGGGGCTCATGCAGGAGGCATCCAATCGATGTGTTTCTATCTTTCCCTCTCTTTTCCACTCTCCCTAAAAATCAATGGAAAAATATCCATGGGCAAGGATTAACAATAAATAAATAAAATAATAAATAAATAAATAAATATTAACAATAAATAAATAAATAAATAAATAAATAAATAAATGAAAGTAAAAACCTTGGTGTAGACAATTAAACATTTTTGATCTGCATTGTCAAAGCTCCCTTCTAGAAAGGTTGCTTTAACTCCATAATCAACCACAATCCCTTATAGGTATTCTCAGTCTTTGAATCTTTGGCAGTTTAATTGTTAAATACTACCTAGTGCACATGATTCATGCACCGGTGGGGGGCATGGCCTGTGGGGATCGGCCCACTGTGGAAGTACCACTCATCTAGTCAGCTGAGGGACTGTGGACCCGCCCTTTGAGCAACTGCATCTTCCATGGCGCCGAGCACTCGCCTCTCCAAAGGACCCAATCTGGGCGGAGCCGGGGACAGTAGCACTGAGAGGTGGCGAAGTAGATCTCAGTACCACAGTGGCTACGAACCCGCCTCCCACCTTCTGGCGTCAGCTCTGTGAGCCTGGCTGCATGGCGGTACTACACAGCCTGTGGGCATCTGGAGGAGCAACTGGGAATGAGGAGGAGGAGAAAGAGAAGGAGGAGGCCCTGCCCGGATTCCTGCCCATCAGCCTGGGGTTCGCTGCAGGAGCAGCCGCTCATCCTGGTCAGCTGAGTGGTGCTCCCACTGTGGTAGCACACTGACAACCAGGGGGCAGCTCCTGCATTGAGTGTCTGCCCCCTGGTGGTCACTGCTCATCATAGTGGCTGGTTGACTAGTCATAGTCATTCTGGTTGTTATGCCATTCTGTTGTTGGGCTTTTATTTTATAGGATATTTAAAAAAAATTCTTTTATTGATATTTTAGCGAGAGAGGGGATGGGAGAGAGAGAGAGAGAAAGAGACATCAATATGAGAGAAAATCATCCATCAGCTGCCACCTATAACGCCCCCTACTAGGGATTGAGCCCACAACCTGGGCATGTGCCCTGACTGGAATCGAACTGATGACCTTTGGTGCATGGGCCGACACTTAACTAACTGAGCCACATGGGCCAGAGTTTTGGAACTGTATTTTTATATTTGCATTTTGATAAGTGATGGTTGGCCTGAGACAAAGATTCATTAAAATTTTTTTCTAGATCATTAGTCTGGTGTCTGTGTTTATTAAATATATGTTCTTAACATGTTAAGCACTCACATTTGGATCTGTTTTGCATGCTTTGTTTTATACCACTTTGCTTGACTTGCTAGTTTGTGCTATCTGAGTATTTGTTAATGCAAATAGCTGTACCTCCCTCTCCCTCTCTCCTTTTTCTCTATGGTTAGTCTCATGTTTTTGTTTTTCCCACTAAATGAGATGTAGAATCATTTCCTAGCAACATTAAAACCTTTCCTTTAGGATTTCTGTTGGAATGCCGTTAAACCTGTTAATTGGAAGAGATCTGCTATCTGTATAGTTTTTCCAAGTTAAATATGGGAGGGCAGGGGTATAGTCATATGTAAGAGACCAGAAGAAAACAGGCCTAGATGTTAGCAGTGCTTATTTCTAGGTAGAATTAAGGATGTTTATTTTTTCCCATATAAGGCTGGGGGGTTTTTTGTTTGTTTTAAAAAATGATGTTCTTTGATATCCTGTATTTTTCATAGTGTTCATACATTATATTAATCATAATCCTATCTCCGTTTTAAGAAGCTCTCTTAAAAAACACCTGGTAATGTGCTTAGGATGGTTAGATGGTGGGAGAGGTCTATGGGGGTTATGAACATCCAACTAGAAGCCGTAGGACTTGGCTTTCGGCAGTGCCGAGGCTAATGCCTGAGCTGCTCTGACCGGAGGAGCACCAGCATTCGGTGGGAAGGTGCACGTGCCTCCAGGCGTGGCTGTCTGGACGTTACAGCAGCACTAACATTTCTCGGTTCTGCCCTTCTCTACCAGGCAGCCTGCCTCCGATCATCGTGTACGACCGGAATGGATTCCGAATTTTGCTCCACTTTTCCCAGACAGGGGTCCCTGGCCACCCCGAGGTGCAGGTGCTCCTGCTGACCATGATGAGCACTGCCACCCAGCCTGTCTGGGACATTATGTTTCAGGTGGCCGTGCCAAAGGTGAGCCATTCACTGGGTAGATCCTTTGAGTTTGTAATTTCTGAGCACCAGATCCATTATCTCTCAGTTAGTTGGAAGGATAGAATCTTCACTCAAAGTAGTTGAAGGTACTCAGCAGCATGGCTCAGTGTTTGAGCATCGACCTAGGAACCAGGAGGTCATGGTTCCATTACTGGTCAGGGTACACGCCCAGGTTGCGGGCTCGATCCTCAATGTCAGGTGTGCAGGAGGCAACTGATCAGTGATTCTCTTTCATGATTGAAATCAATAAAAGTATATTTTAAAAAAGTGGTTGAAGGTAAAATGGGGACTTTATTGGCTCATTCTGCTGGTGATTCCTGATGTCTGGTCCAGGTAGGTTCTTAGAGGATTCCTTAGGAACCTGTCTCTTCCCTCTCCTTACTGCTTTCCTGTTGGGAGCCTGTTCTGTGACAGACTCTTCCCAAAGCAGGAAAACAGTGCTAGCAGCTCTAGAATCACCTGGTTCTTAACTCTTGTATCTCGGAAGGAAACTCTCCTATGCTGTACACCTGAAACTAATACAAAATAATATTGAATGTAAACTGTAGTTGGAAAATTTATTTATTGATTGATTTTTAAGTTTGGGTTGTTTTTTTTGTCCTCATCAGAGGATATTTTTCCATTGATTTTTTAGAAGGGAGGAGGAAAAGGAGAGAGAGAGAAACATTGATGTGAGAGAGACGTATCGATTGGTTGCCTCCTGCACAGGCCCTCACCAGGGATGGTGATCAAGTGTGCAACTGAGGTACATGCCCTTGTCTGGAATCGAACCTAGTCCCTTCAGTCCCCAGGTGGATGCTCTATCCTAGCCAAACTGGCCAGTGGTCGGCAAACTCATTAGTCAACAGAGCTAAATATCAACAGTACAATGATTGAAATTTCTTTTGAGAGCCAAATGTTTTAAACTTCTTCTAATGCCACTTCTTCAAAATAGACTTGCCCAGGCCGTGGTATTTTGTGGAAGAGCCACACTCAAGGGGCCAAAGAGCCGCATGTGGCTCGCAAGCCGCAGTTTGCTGACCACTGGAGTAGGGATATAATTGATTTTTTTTTTAATTTTTATGTAACGCTTCAGGAATTTGCATGTCATCCTTGCTCAGGGGCCATGCCAGTCTTCCCTGTATCATTCCATTTTAGTATATGTGCTGCTGAAGAGAGCACTGATTGAAAATTTTAAAAAACTTTTTTAAAATGTAAAATTAAATGAATATGGGAGAGAGAGAGAGAAAAAAAAAGTAAGAACCCTGGCAGGTCTCTCAGTTGGTTGGGACGTTGTCCCATGTACCAAAAGGTTGTGGGCTCCATTCCTCGTCAGGACACCTACCTAGGTTTTGGGGGTGAGTTCGGGAGGCATTTCTCACATTGATGTTTTTCTATCTCTCTCTTCCTCTCTAAAATCAATAAAAACACACCCTAAAGTGAGAGGGGGGGAAAAAAGGGAGAAAGAAAGACTCGTCTGGCATGAGGCAGTCTGACTAATTGCCAAGAAAACATGGATAGGATTGGCACTATGGTGTTCCTTGTGTGCCTTGGCAATTAGTGTCCAGGGATATGAGGTACTCGGGTCAATTTGGATATTAGGTCCACCCCTTCACAAGAGGAGGAGGGCCCCACAAGAATGGCAATACTGGAATCACAAAAGAGGGAAGGAGCATGTCCTGAAAGGAAAGATTCAAAGCAGACTTTTTTTTTTTTTTTAAGAAGTCAGACACCAAAGTTGACATTCTTTTTTATTTTTTTTAACAGAGAGGAAGGGAGAAGGATAGAGAGTAAGAAACATCGATGAGAGAAAAACATTGATCACCTGCCTCCTGCACACTCCCCACTGGGGATGTGCCCGTAACCAAGGTACATGCCCTTGACCATAATCGAACCTGGGACCCTTCACTCCACAGGCCGACAAATTGGTTAGGGCAAAGTACACATTCTCTTTATTTTGTACACATTTTCTTAAATTTTTTAATTCTTACGGATTTGAAAGAGAGAAACATTGATTTATTGTTCCACTTATTGATGCATTCATTGGTTGATTCTTGTATGTCCCTGACCAGGGCTTGAATCCACAACCTTGGGATCTCAGGACAATGTTCTAACCAACTGAGCTACCTGACCAGGGCCAAGATACATTTTTAAAAATATATTTTTATTGATTTCAGAGAAGAAGGGAGAGGGGGCAAGTGATGAGAATCATTGATCGGCTGCCTCCTGCATGTCCCCTACTGGGGATTGACCCACAGTGTGGGCATGTGCCCTTGACTGGAATTGAACCCAGGACCTTTCAGTCCACAGGTCAATGCTTTATCCACTGAGTCAAATCAGCTTGGGCCCAAGATCCACTTTCTCATCCTCATGGTGATCATGTGGGGCATGTGTTATTATTACGTCTGTTTTATAAATTATTGTTCTAAGGCTTGGAAGGTTAAATATTTATCCAAGGTGAAAGAGCTAGTGAGAGCCGGAGTTGGAGTTCAATTCCAGATGTGCCCTCGCTCTGCATGTGCCTCTCCGAACCCAAGGACTGACACATTCTGCGTGTGGGAGGAAGCGTCTTTTGAATCCTGCCATTAGTTGGTGGGGTGCAGGTCAAGCTCTCCTATTCCCCTGACCCTTATTAAAGCTGTCATTTATTAGAAATGACACGCTGGATCTCCCCCGTCCTTGTAGTCAATGAGAGTGAAACTGCAGCCGGCGTCCAGCTCCCAGCTCCCAGCGTTCAGTCCTTTGATGCCTCCGGCCGTGATCTCTCAGATGCTGCTGCTTGACAATCCACACAAAGTATGTCCTGGTGTCTTTAACAGCAGGGAGGTGGGCGGGGCCCTGAACTATAGGGTGGCATGTTGAAGTCTTCCTCTGAAGTCTCTGGTGGTTGGGAGTGGTGGCGGCTGTTCCCTGCTAGAGTGTGTTTTCCTTTGGGGCTTATTGAAAGAAGCCTGGGGACGAGATTGTCATGGTTGGGAACCAAGGGAGGGACAAACTCTCCCTGTTACATGGAGTCTGAAAGGGTGAGGCCTGTCTGTTGTCCTCAGCTGGCCTCTTAGCAGTGGTCCAGCTCAGGATCGCACAAGTGTGGGATGAAGGACTTGAATGCCAGGCTGTGGACCTGGCTCCTCTTGTGTTGGTAGTCCCCGGGGTCTATCCAGGGTGTCACAGCGTGAAGTCCTCACCTGGTCGAGTTAACAGGCATGCACTGTTGCTTGGTGACTACTGCATGGGAAAGGCTTTTACTTTGTGCTCTTCTCTCTGTTGCTTCTCACTAATTTATCTTCTATCTTTGCCTAGGAGCCAATCCGGTTACGGTATAAGCTGACATTCAACCAGGGCGGACAGCCTTTCAGCGAAGTAGGAGAAGTGAAAGACTTTCCAGACCTGGCAGTCTTGGGTGCAGCCTAACTTTTTTCCAAACACACCCTGCCATTCGAGTGTAGGCAGTGTTCCTTGTGCTGTCTACATGGGACTAATCACAGTGACTGAGCGCAGAGTGCCAGGAGTGCTGTCCTGCTGCAGCCTCCAGATGCCAGCCTCTGGCTTGTTTTGTACTGTGTGTGTGTGTGTGTGTGTGTGTGTGTGTGTGTGTATGTGGACGCGCTTGCGCACACTATACGGGGTTCATGGAAGGCTGGGACAGAACTTGGATGTGGTCAGTGTGGGAAGTGCAGAAGCATTTCTGCAACCGCCTTCTACGAGCATATCTGTTCTGTCTGTTTGGACTCTGGTCTTCTGCCTTAGGCGGGACGTTTTATAGCCAAAACTGTTGTTTTCATGTATTACCTTGTCACTCATCCACTCTGTGCCTTGTCAGCCTCTGAAAGCCTTGGTTGCTCCCAGGTTACTGCTCTCAGGGACCTTAAAAGGGACACAGTGGGTCTTGGGGCAGAGGGTGCTTGTGGGGCACTTTCCATTTCCACTAGGGAACGCTGCTGGCACGTGTTCGGAAGACCTTCTAGATGGAACGCGTGTTGCATGTTTTCCAGGCAAGAGGCTGCGCCGACCAGAGGACCACACTTGTGGCCAGTCATGTTCTTCACCACTGTGCCTTAGAACCTCCCACAGCTGGACCTCAGGGCGGCGGGGAACGCAGATCCCAGGCCTCATTCAGGCCTTAGGCTCCGCAGGTTGTGCAGCCTGTCTGGGCCCTTACTCAGGACCCTCATCTCCATCCCCTGTCTGCACAGGCATGTACTTAGAGCCCGTGTGGCACAGTGCCAGTCATCGTACATCGTAGCTGACAGGCTCCCCCTCGTCTGTTGCCTTCGCAACCCAAGATGAACTGTGATGCAAGTAGATATGAAAAGAGCTTAGCAGTGATTTAAATGGTGACTAAATACAGAAAGTCACTGAATAAAAACCTGTGTAGCAAATATACTTTGTGGAGTTTTGATTGAGTAGGAGGTATAAAGCCCGTTGCATTCAGAGATGATCGGCCCAAAGGGACGTGGCCTTTACTGAGGACGGAAGGAAGACTTCCTGAGGGACCAGGGGCCTCAGCGGCTTCAGTGAAGCCTCAGCCCCTGGGTCTAGCAGTGCTGGGAAGAGACTGGGTTTCTGTTACATTCACGGGTCAGAGGAAAGCCAGGTGTGCAGTGAACTTAGCACCCACTCTGTGCTGATTAACAAGCCCTGCGTGGCCTGAAGAAGTCCCAGCAGCTCACCTGTGTGGGCAGGATTCCACCTCAGAAACTGCAAGGCTCTTTGGGGGCTTTTTATCACAGAATGTGGCACTGTATAGCCTGCTCTTTCAACATCTACATCTAGTTGGAAATCTGCCAACACTGATTGGTGGGGAAAGGTGCTATAAAAGATCAAGGCATGCTAATTTTTAAGTAAATGAGAAAACTCATAAAACATAAATGATGGGGTGATTTCGTCACTTGGCATAATGCACATAAGATTCATTTTAAGCTAAAATTACTTTAATGCTCACACGCTTAGGATAGCTTTTATAGACTAGCCATTTCACCCTCTATAATGACCGTGTCAGCCTAGGAAGAACTGCCATCACAATGTGTGAGTGAGACTTACATTGTTCAGAGGTGAACTCCTGCATCTGACCTTCTGCTGCAGTGGGGTCTGCTTAGGGCGTGGTGGACAGGTTGGGGGCAGGGGAGTGGAGGGCATGCGCGGTCCTGAATGTGGCCCTGGTTTATGTTATCAGTCCTCTAGTTTCCAGTTCAGTGATCACTTCAAGCTCAGTCCTTAACCTCTTATTCACTCAAGTATTTGGCCAGCGACTATGAGGCAGACACTGTTGTAGGCCCTGCCCGTACAGCAGCACCAGAGTTCCTACGTTTCCTCATCTTCTGTTCTAGTGGGAAGAGAAAAATCCATATTCCCTGGTGGAGGGGGCCTGAACTCCTGGAATCCTGCTCACCCCAGTTCTTGACCTACCTCTGACTGTTCCCCTCTGTCCCTGTGTTTCTCCAGGGTGTAGTCCTCATTCTTTTGTAAGCACTGTGGGCAGTTCACCTCTAGATGGGTCCTAAGCCTCCATCTCAAGCTTCCACCATGCTGACTGACGTCAGATCCACGTTTCAAGCCAGCAGTGGCTCTCTCTATCTGGAGGTTCCACTGTTGCCTCAAACTCCAAATGTTTTGAATAGAACCCAACCTCCTCCCTGTTTCCACCTATATTTTCTTTTTCTTTCTTTCTTTTTTTTTTTTTTTTAAACTATTTGTCTTTAAATCCTCACTGGAAGATATTTTTCCATTGTTTTTAGATATAGTGAAAGGGGGGGAGGGGTTGGAGAGAAACATCAGTGTGAGAGACATCAATTGGTTGCCTCCCCCACGCACCCAAATGGGACTGGGAAATGAACCTGCAACCCAGGTATGAACCCTTGACCAGGAAAGGAACTGTGACCCTTTGGTGAGTGGGCTGACACTAACCACTGAGACCCCTGGCCAGGACTAAATTTTCTATTTGAAAGTATCTATCTGAGCCCTCATGGACCCTTCATTCCTGCTCCATCCATTCCACTTGGTACCCTTGTCTCGAGTCTTTATTTCTAAATACTACCACATCTTGCTCTCCCTGCATTCACACTAGTTGCCTACCTCTCAGTTCTCTGAGCCATGGTACTTGCTATCACCAGAATTCTATAACAAATCTGGGTACTTGATCCCTTGCTGGAAAATTCTGAGTGGTTCTTAATGTCTGAAAAGCCTATGCAATCAAATTCAAGTTGCTTACACCAGCATTCAGTGCCCCCGCACTGTGCGCCCTGCTCACTGGCATCTGCCAAAAACAACGGACTTTCCACAGCCACAAGGTAGTTTGTCATGTGTCTGGCCACTGCAGTTACCCCTCCCCTCAGCTCTTCAGTGAATGGAAGATGCTGCTTTGCTGAGCATCAAAGGGCTGTGGAGATAGTAAGTGGTGAAAGGGTAAATGGCTTAAAGAACATGAATGTTACCATTAAAAAGAACATACAAGATGGAAAGCGATATTCTAAAATGCAAAGTGCTGGACAAGTGCCGTGTCTACGAGTAGTCACACATTCTTTGGACTACCCATATAGAAGACACCAGCCCAAACCACAAAATCTGTCACTAGGTGTGCTTGTGTGGTTTTTTTTTTTTTACTAAGAAAACAGAATTGTGTCTGGAATACTAGCTATGGTTTTTTTGTTTTTAAAGGTGTGATTTGACACCCCATCTGGAAAGAGGGGAGCCAAACAAGGACAAAGCAGGCAGTGTCCTCAGATAAAATTACACAGTTACGGCACACTGTTTTTTTAAAAAAAAATATATTTTTTACAGAAAGGAAGAGAGAGGAGAGGGATAGAGAGCTAGAAACATAGATGAAAGAAACATCAATCAGCTGCCTCCTGCATACCCCCTATGGGGAATGTGCCCGCAACCAAAGTACATGCCCTTGACTGGAATCGAACCTGGGACCCTTCAGTTTGCAGGCTGACACTATCCACTGAGCCAAACCACACTTTTTAAAATTTTTATTTTTTAATCCTCACCAGAGGATATTTTTCCATTGATTTTTAGAGTGAGGAGAGAGGGGAAGACAGAAACTTCAATGTGAGAGAAACACATTGATTATTTGCCTCCCGAGAAGCCCTAACCAGGGCCGGCCCGGAGGAGCTTGCAACTGAGGTATGTGCCCTTGACTAGAATCAAACCCGGGTCTATCCGAGGTGAGCCTGCTAGGGGTAGGCACACTCAATGTCACCCAGAATGAAGTTAACTTGGTCTTTTGTACCCTCATCCAGTGCAAACCCAAGTCTACCATGTTCATTCAGAAAAAACTTGCACTTTAAAAAGTAGTTTTCAGAGGTAGTTTTTAAAGATGAAGAAACACTTTAGTGTTACAGGCCTCATGTACATCTGCTTTTAAAGATTGAGGTCTTGTACCTGCTTCGGCAGCACATACACTAAAATTGGAATGATACAGCATGGCCCCTGCACAAGGATGACTCGCAAATTCATGAAGTGTTCCATATTTAAAAAAAAAAAAAAAAGTTGGATGTCTTCCAAAGCCCTAACCATTTGAAATAATGAAGTCAGACCTTAGTTGTAATTGTGTTTACCTTCACTACTGCCACTGCCTCTACATAGCCATGTGACACGGAAAATATCCTCTGCAGAGTCCTCCCCTGTGACGTGGGTGGTAGGATTGTTTTGAAAATTAAATGAGTTAATATATGTAAAGTGACTATGATACCACATGGCAGTTAGCTAATGCTCACCTTTCATTTGCTATTTCCTCTTAGCTTGTCCAACTGGCTTCCAGTAGAGGAGCGGACTTGCCTTGCCCATAATTACTTAAAGTTCACCTTATAAAATAAAATTTAAAAATTTGGTGAGGTGCAAATTAATACGGAGACAGTAAATGCCAAAGGTATGGGATAAATATATAAAAATTGTACTTGTAAAACAAAATAATTATATTCATAAGAGCATTAAAATGAATATAACACTGGAATAAGTTTAATAAAGATACAAGACATTTACAATGTGCACCTACAAGATATTGCTGAGAGAAAATCTAAACGAGGTCCTCGGGGGACTGCTCTGGCTAGGGACATCAGCAATGTGTGGAGACTTCTGATGTCACAGCTTCAGTGAGGGTTGCTGCTGGCCTCTAATGGGTAGAGGCCAAGGGTGTGGCTAAACATTGTAAAATGCATAGCATCACGGTTGGAAATCCCGATCTTAAGTGGAGAGGCATCTCGTGTCCACGGACTGGAAGACAGTATTGTCAAGATGACAATTTGCAAATTGATAGATTCAATATACTCCCTATTTCAGCAGCAGTTTTTGTAGAAATTGATAAGCTGATCATACGATGTATGTGAAAATGCAAAGGGTTTAAGGCAGCAAACATTTTAAAAAAGAATAAAGTGAGAGGGCTTACACTACTGGATTTCAAAAATTACTAT